TTACTCAACATTTTGTTGTCCTTCAGCTCAGGCCTTGCCCCTGTTGCTATCGATACTGTCTTCGGTAATTATTCATACTAATTACCTTATGATTCCGATAGATTTATTTGGAATGAAAATGGTCCATTTTTATGGCGAACGAGTTTAGATTGGTGGCAATGTAATGTAGGTCTAATTGTATGTAACTTATAAAGCATTAAAACTTCCTATGACGTCAAACAGTGTTGATGCCGTGGGAAAATCATCTCCTTGACACGCCTCTTGATTCCTAATGACCCTGCTTTTAGAAACGTACTTATAATAACACCTGCACGCAACACTGTTGAGGAAGAAAATTAGATCCGAAATTAGAATCGTGCAGCTATTTTAAACTATTTTGCAAAAACTTCCGTTTAACAATTATGTTAATGCGAATCACATATAGCTGCCATTGCCTTGCATTACCTTGCCTTTCTATTTTTCAATACACTTCTTGTTTTAGAACTGTTTAACTGACGGTAAGTATTAACTTGTATAGGCAATAGCATGGCTACTCGTGCAATTTGAAAAAAAAATCACTATAGTGAGTTTTTAAATTAAAAGACGGTCAAAATCGTACGCGTCCGAAGGACAAAGGCAATAGAACTAGAATTTTGTCTGGAACACCAACATGGTGTGCGGCAATGTATACGTAATACCACATTTTCCTTCTGCAGAAAACCCTTTGGTTTTTCTACAAACCATGCCATATCGTGCTTTACACACGTAAAAACGCACAAGTTGTAACAAAACCTGCAGCAGACTTGTATAGCAATTCTGTTCCAACAACTTGTCAACAAGATGTATTCGCACTGCTTGTTCCCAGCTTGATGACAAGTTGTCAACGGCTTGTTGGCAATTTTACAAGTTGTTCCAACAACTTGTTGTCGCCCTACAATTCAACAATTTGTCAACCAGTTGTGAGTGACAACCTTGTAGCAACTTGATAAAATAAAAGCATTGTTACAACTTGTTGACAAGCTTGCTACAAGCCTGTTGCGAACACATCTTGTTGACAAGTTGTGAGATTTTTACGTATGTAGACTACAACTATGAGATAAATTATCAAGATTTTGGGCAACTGGTCCTGGTTAGGTCCAAAAATAGTATATAATCTTCCTCTACAAAAACCTTTCACCGTCGGATGAATTGCCCTCAATTAAAATTTGCAAGACATGTTGTTGCTATGAAAACGCCCACTTTTTCTAGTGCACGCGAGTTTATTTTGGTGACACTAAAGTAATTTAATTGTTATATACCTTGTAAAGTGTTTAGTCTTCCCATGACGTCAAAGAGCGTTTGTTTGGCAGGGGGAATATCGTCATCTTGATACGCTTTTCGACCTCTAATTACTTTGCTTTCAGAAACAGAACGAAGGTTAACACGAACTGGGAGAATATTGCACCAAATAATTTAGCATCAAGGAAGAGTCATTACACTTCCGTTGTAGAATCGTGCATAGAGACATTTTGGACACTTATGAGTTGCTAAAAATCTTCCGTTCAATATTATGAAATGGATCACGTGACCATAGCAATTGCAACATAACATTTTTGTAATTCAAAATACAAATGTTTTTGTATATATTCCGGACATATAGTGTCTTACAATCTTGCCTCATGAGATCCCGCATTCTGTGGACCTCTTCGTTTGAAACTGGTTGATTGGTAAGTGTATATAATGTCCTCAAAAATACTCTGCATTATCGCTTTATATAAAGATTTTGTTGGCATCCCAATTGATTGAATAATAGTTGATGGGTTTTGTAGATGAAAATTATAGAGTGGAAATTTTATATACATTTATGAACCAAACCTGTGGTCCTGCGATTCCGGTGCAGCGCTCTAACTGAGTTACTAGACTGTAGTTGTCGAGCTCCAACCTCAGCTGGCCCATGATGTATACTAGCCAGGGTACTGCCATGTTAAGGTACGGGTAAATACCATGATTTTGTTGGCATCTCACTCGATTAAATAATAATTGATGTGTGTTTTAGATGGAAATTATCGTGTGTAAATTTCATATATGTTTATTAGACCTAACCATGCAGGAACAGCTGCAAAGGTGCAAATATACGTCCTTTGGCAGGAATCAACCTGCTGCCCTGCGATTCCCGTGCACACACACACACACACACACACACACATATATATATATATATATATATATATATATATATATATATATATATATATATATATATATATATATATATATATATATATATATATATATATATATATATATATATATATATATATATATATATATATATAGTTTTTCGTTTTACCTCAAAGAACCACAACAGTCTGTTTCATCCGTATAGGAATCATCATGATTCCTATACGGATGAAACAGACTGTTGTGGTTCTTTGAGGTAAAACGAAAAACTATATTACGCTCTATCTATATGGTATTGAGCACTGTTTGTGTTTCGTAAACCAAAATCTTAAGCTATATATATATATATATATATATATATATATATATATATATATATATATATATATATATATATATATATATATATATATATATATATATATATGAGCGATAGAGTCTACAGGACGTCTCACTCGATAGAACTAACACTATAATGTAGATGGAAATTTCCACCGGAAGACTTCGATTTTTAATAATAAAATCTTTATTTATACTAATAAAAGAAACCGTTCAGTCAATTACATAGATTGGTTGGTATCAATCGGTGATTACTGTGCAACAAGTATATATAATAACTAGAAGTGCATAAATAAGGCTATACATTGCATAACTGTAAAATGTCTGTATAATTGGACGTATAATCCATGCAAATAATTGTCCATGCCACGTAATTGTGCGTAGCATCCATGTTCATCAAGTATTTATATAAACATTTCGTTCTTGAACCACACAAGGGTTTTTAGTTCTCGTATCTCTTTCGGTATAGAGAATTCCAATCTCTGGCAGTCGAGAATCTGAACGAGGTCTCGCCACATCTAGTTCTTACTGGCGGTAAATCTAATGTTGGATTTCTAAGAGATCGACAGTGCATTTGTGATCGTCTTACTAGATAGTCTATATCAATTGCTTCGGGCAATTTACGTTGTTTATGATCTCATAAACGTATATTGCAACCCGACGTCTTCCGACGACATCTTGTTTCTTTTCAAGCGAAGGTATTTCGTATCGAAGCTAGACAAAGGGCATTCTCTCAAAACGTCGAAGTTCCGGTTATATTTTTCAGGTAGTTGTATAATTGATCTCAATGCATGTCAATGAGCAGCTGTCTTGTTATCGTCGCAGCCTATACATGCACTGACACTATTAGATTCATCTTCGCCCAATAATGCGATTGGACTCGAAAGAATCCAATAAGTTATAATACCAAGTCAGTATATAACGATAAATAAAACCCCCGACAGGAGTAGTAAAACTTTGGCTGCCATTTCTGGCCATGCAGGATTCATTTGTAAGATCTCTGATCGAGAAAATCCCCAAATGAGATGCATCGTATACGGCAGTGGTTGCGATATTTTCTTTGCCTAAACAATAATTTCAAGTGGAATTTTTATCCATTTATTAGACCCAAACAGGAACAGTTGCGAAAAATGCAACAATATCACCCTCTGGCAGGAATCGAACATGCGGGCATGCTCTTAATTTCGCAAAACAGCTGCTAGTATCCGGTGTATATAGCTTCTTTGGGTACTTATAATGTAGAAAATGAAAAAAATTTCTCGAACTCAAATTTTCCAACAACAATCTTTTCCAACAAACTAAAAATGGCTTAATACATGGAAAATCTGTTGGGTTTTTAATTACTGTACAAAATTTCAGACAATTTGCTTTAGTTTAAGCCCTGTAACTATTCACGCAAACTCGCATATTTTCGTAAAAAATCAGCAATTTGCACAACCTCGTACCAGGCTCTTACCTTCGCTACGCGGTTGCTATTTGCATGCTAATTAATGGCTTTGCCTAATTTGCATATGTCAGCAGTATGCAAATTAGGTAAAGGCATTAATTAAGCATGCGAAAGGATAATTTTTTAGAAAAATATGAATAGTTAAAGGAGCTAAGGCAAATTGTCTGAAATTTTGTACAGTAATTAAAAACCCAACAAATTTTCCATCTATGAACTCAAAATATGATTAAAGCTTTTAATTTTCGTGCACAAGCCATTTTTAGTTTATTGGAAAAGACACACACCCCTGGTTTACAAAATTTGAGTTCCAGAATTTTTTTATTATTCTACATTATAAGTACCCAAAGAAACTATATAATTTATATCAAAAACTGGATACTAGTAGGTGTTTTGCGAAATCGAGAGCAATTTGAAATGTGTTCAGTTTTTTTATACACCCTGTATAGTCGCATTTTTGCAGCTGCTCCACTCAAAATTTCCAACTTCGAATATCTTCAATAGTTACTTATATCGCGTGAGATACCCATAGAAATGCAGGAGATACCCCAAATAATGATTTTCACTATATATTTACAGCGTTTGCCGCTCGATCTAAAGAACAATTTACGATGGGCAATGACAATAGTTTCCGTTGTTGGGTGACAGGCTGTACTGCCTCCGAGCAAAATGGTCCACCTGCTGTGGTAATAAACTATAAAGAAAAGGGAATGTACAAGGCATATAAAGATGCAAGCGATTACGTGGAAAAAAACAAGGAAGACGGGTATTGCGTTGTTGGGCCTGATGGTTTTTTGAAGTGCTGGAAATTGCACAAAGGATGTAAAGCAAAGTTCAAAAGAACATCTGAAAATGTGTTTCTGTGTTATTACAATGGAGAATTAAAATTAGCGAATGACACAAAAGGGGAGATGAAGAAGTTTACTCGGACCGATCTCTACTATTACAATAGTACTTGAATAAATAATGTGTGTGAGTGCCAGAGTCTGAGTGAGAGCTTTTCACGTTGATGCAGATTAATCAAATGTACGGTATATCCACGTTTACGCCAATGTAGTATAGAGAATTGCACAGTTATCGCTTATTATTCAGCTCACTCCCTATCAGGGTTTTCAGTGACCGTTTACATCAAGTATTACGCTTACTTATTATATGGCAAGCATCACTTCCGGCAAAATGGCGGACTGTGATCGGCTGAGAAGCACTTTCAGCGGTCTATTATTTCCCCATGCGGTCCACTACGTAAAAACAAACGCATGCATTTTAAAACAAAACAGAAAAATTAATTGAAAATTATAATTTAATTTGTTATTAATAAGATATCTGCGAATGTTTTTTAGTGGAAAAGAAGGAATACATTGGTATTTGTTTCGACCAAATATGTATCACGCTACTAATATGCATTTCAAACCATGCATTTCTTGTTTGTTTCAAGTATAAATGCCTATAAATGCTATATAATAAACTTTTTATTAACCTCGCTTGCATGCTTGGTCTTAGTCTCCTACGCATACCTACTTAGCGGGCTGAGCCCTCACGTAAGGTATGCTTACTTTGGCCAAGAATTCCTTTCCTCAAAATTAGCCAATCACAGCTTTACCCACGAAAATTGTGGGGCTTGACCTTTGACTATGCCTTTGACCTTGAGGCTTCTTGGGTCGTCAAATGTTTCAAAACACATCTTGAACATTTCATATCTTCATTTGTACGACGTACGTACAGTATATTCATATCTTAAACCGATTATATGCGGGAGTTGAGAGATATAACCGATTATATGCGAGAGCTGAGAGATGTGCCAGGCCCTCTTTACAATTCTTTCAACTGAGAAACACTATGTTGATGTGCCCATGATAATAGCAAGATTGCCAATTGTATCAATTGTAACTATGATGGTTTAAATTACCTTAGATCCTTTGAGATAGAATACTAGATAAGGATGTTTCAGCTGCTTGTCTTTTCTCTGTAATGCTAGATCTGTAATACTGTATTTAAAATTACAATATTTTTCATAATCAATTAACTTTATATCTTTCCTTCACTTATTTGTAAAAATATTTTTCTAAACTTACTTACACTACCTACATTTAAATTCATTGCCTGCCACGACTAGCTTGGCTACTTGCAGGTAATGTAACGTATAATCTTTCTTTGTAAATTTTTGTAAACATTAAATTATTATTATTATTATATATTTGTTATACATATACCAGTCTACAAATTTACAATATGGAACAATTGTAAAATCTGTTAGAATTTGTCGAGCTATTGTTTTGAACAGACAGTGTAGTAAAATCGAACAATGTCACATAAAATATTTCGCGATGTTTTGATTACTTTTCAAGCGTTTGCAGGTGTTACTGCACGGGTAATATACTGGACAAAGACGTCAAGACAACGTTATAAAGTTACAGTGTACATTACTGCGGGTGTAGATAGTAGATTTATAAGTACTAATTGCATGAAGACTACAGAATTCTCGACAGAATTCAGCCCATATAAGTACTGAATTGACTCATTGCATATTTCGGTTTCTAAGTTTGTATATGACTAGCCAGTTTATAAAGTTTAATAAAATCGTAATTACAAAAGTCGCTCTGATATTGAACGTTCGGAAACTTAGTACTATTTACAATATGAGCGGCCGTGTTGTATCGGATATTATATAATAACTATAGTGAAACATGCAATTTGATTGGTCAATAGCCGTGCAGGATCAGGCTGTCCTGCACGAGGAATTAAAATGCCTTCGCGGGATTTTCGCGGGATTCTCAAAATGTCATTGTTTCACTGTAGTTATTTTATAAAACGATTACCAAATGGTTTTCCAAGCAGGATAGCGTGATCCATGCATGCACTTGGGATGTTGCTCGACTTTCGGAAAGCGTAAAAATACACTCGCCTGCGGCTCGAGTATTTTTACGCTTTCCGAAAGTCTCGCGACATCCCTCGTGCATGGATCACGCAATCCTGCACCGAAAACCATTCGGTATTCCTTTATACAAACTCGAGCCGAAAACGACTCATCTTATGAGTTCATTGGCGAAGTAATTTTAAAAATAAACGTTATCTAAGCCGAGAAAATCAAAGTTAAAGTTTATGTAGATCAACATGAATATGTATCACATATACAGACTCCTTCACGCCCATGATTTCTTTTGTGTTTTCTTCATGAATTATTAATGAGTTTTTTAATAGTATATATGAAATATACATGCCGTCACGCAGTCGCGTCAAGTTCAAAACAAGTAGTACCAGTGAATAGTTTTATATACATTTAAGCCTTCGACCTATCGCGTACATTCGTTGGAAAAATATTCAATATTTTCTACTTCGACTGCTATTGATCAGAAAACTCGATCTGTTCACATTTATGGCCATTTAAATACGTATATACCGTATTATTATTCGATTATCGCACGCTCCTTGTTTACAAGTTTACAGTTGACATTCAAAGTGGGCGTGTCTTGTGTATTTGAATGCTATTGGCTAATGGAATACAATGGGAAGGCGAATTGTTAGCGAAAGTAAGCAGACCGTACGTGGCGGGCCCAAACCCGCTAAAGTAGGTCTGCATAGGAGACTAGCTCGGTCTGTACAGAGAAATATCAGACCTCTATCTTTTCAGTACAAACCTCGTCCTCGGTCTGTACAAAAAAGACCTCGGTCCGATACCTCTCGTTCGGTTAGTAAGAAGTCATTATATTATTCATTTAGCCTATTTAACTTTACAACTAGTACTTCTAGTAGTAATAGTTAACACTCCACCTGTCCCATTTGATAAACCTCATAAGTTCAACCCTATTTCAGCTACTATTGTGAAGTTTGGAATGTATTCGGCGAAACTCAATCAATACGTGTACAAAAACTTCATAACAGAGCTGCATAACAATAGCACAATGTGCCAAATGAGGTAGATCAACAAACGGTACTGAATATACTAGAAAATACACGAGCGCACAAACCCTCGCCTTGCTGACAAAACCATTGTATTTTCCGAACATGAAGTTCTAAAGTAGTTGTCATGGTAACGCGATAATTTTTTAATAATATTCTTACAAATGAAAAATCGCCTAAAAATATCACTTTTAATTACAAAATTATCAATTTCCCAACATATATATGTTAGGTATGTTATTATACGTAATATAAGCCTCAATTTAAGGTAAAATTCAACCACAAACGCTTCGCAAAACGTTTTAAAGTGCTCTTTAACCAAACTGCCTTTAATTAAATGGCATTATCGATTTATCGATAAACTTTGAGTTTGCAATAAAATGATTTTAAATTCTCGCTTGCAAATAACTTTGCTTTCTTTTTATTTAAAAAATTCAATATAATAAAAAGGGAATCAATATTAAAGATACACTGAAATTATATTCTGTCTTGTTTAGTTGTTTCATATACGCAAAGCCATTATAAAATCAATATTTAAAACAAACTTACCTTCGTTAACGTCGGCTCCCTTCTTTTAGCCGATTCTTTCGCAGTTTCTTTCCGAGAGAGCTTTTGAAATTTACAAAATATTGCAAAAATGCGAGTAAAAATGAAATATATTGGCAAGAAATTTATCAATCATGAATCATCAAATCAAGAAATGTAGTGTATCTAAAAGTCGAGGGTCGAGAGTATAGGTCGAGAGTCGAGAGTAAAAGTCGAGAGTCGAGAGTAAAAGTCGAGAATAAAAAGTCGAGAGTCGAGAGTAAAAAGTCGAGAGTAAAAAGTCGAGAGTCGATCGAGAATAAAAAGTCGAGAGTCGATCGAGAGTAAAGAGTCGGCAAATGTCATCAGAAAAAACCCAGAAACATCAAAATATTTTTATTTTGTAACCACGTTTAACACAATCTATATATATAGCTTTACATAGCCATTCCGTAACAAGTACCAACGGATGAAGTACAAACTTTCCAATAAATATTGCTACAACAGTCAATAATCAGTGGCGGAAATTCACTTTTTCCCGGGGGGAGGGGCAAAGCCTCCTAAATTTCCGACAAAACTTTGAAATTTCCGACGTACCCCCCCCCCCCCATTTGCACTCGAAAAGACTGTTTTTAGCCCTCTTTTAGATCAAAATTTCCGAAAATTCGTCAATTTTCCGGAAGGTGAATTTTCCGGAAGGCGGCCGCCCCCCCCCCACCCCACCAAGGTTTCCGCCACTGTCAATAATAATAACGTGATAACAAAAACAAAAAAGATTGGATAAGAAAATAATATCGGATTTGATGCCTCAATCTTGCTAAATGTTTTCACATGTCATTTCATTCTAACTGACATGCACATAAACTTCGCTGAATTTTGACAGCCATCTCCAGGCTTGTAACTATAAAATGTCACTTATTCATTAACGTACGTTTATATCAAACGAGAGCGTATTAAGAAATCCACGTTGATCACAATCTAACGATTCATACAATTGTGAATTCATAAATACGAGCCAGTAAAAATAGGATTCTTTTGTCGTATGTGTGACTCTATCGGATGGTAATATGTCGCGCACGTGATTGTAAAGTCCTAGTATTTCTATGTAGCTTCACATATGAGTAATTTTTCGCGGAAATATTAGGTGCATGTAAAAGCGGGAAGGATGGACAGTAATATATAAGGAAGCGATAAAACTAGTTATTAGATAATAGTTATTATTATTGAATGTTGTGGCTAAACTTTTGCGAAAGTTTTTTTTTATATTATACTGGATTATTCCTTTGATTGCATGTGCCTCTTGTTTACTTTAATTTCGAGAATTTGAGCATACTAAGGGAAGCCTCACACATCGATTTTGTCCATGAGAAACGTCATATGTTCGTTTCTCTGGAGACCCCCCCCCCCACACACCCTTAGAAACGTCACACATATTTATCGATATTTTGTTCTTACAGTACACTATGAGTACACATAAGGTAATTTTCTACTATTTTTTTTCGGTCGGCTATTGGCGATGCTTCCGCGAGGAATATGTCATCTTCTGCTGACATACTCTTTTTTTATTAATATATATATGAACTTCAAAATTTCCAACGTTTCTCAAAACAACTTTTTTTGCATGAAATATTGATAATTTTAGCGCGTTTTTCTTGAAATTTGAGTGTTTTCAATGCAAGGAAGGCGTAATAATATAAATGTATACGTATAGAACAGGTATGGTATTACGAATATATAGACTGCTGTTTGTATCAAATTGTTTTCTTCTTTATATTCTGCAAAGATAAAAACTATCGAATTTTTCCATGATGTTTACAGAGAAACGTCACAGCTGCCAACCCCCCACCCCCAAACGAACATATGACGTTTCTCGTGGAAAAAATCGATATGTGAGGCTTCCCTAAATTATGTTTAATTCGCAAATATTGTTTGCTTTATGTTCCGATACACAGGAAATGAAATTAGTTCAGCCGTCATAGGCGTACGGGCGGGAAAAAATCAGGGAGCCAGAAAGAAATTTACCCGATTTTTTACCCACTGAATAAAATTTTCCGTGTAACTAAATTTCCAAAATTGTCGTTGGGAAATGGGAAGTAGACAAAAATATTTTCCTATTTGTCGATTCCTCGTTACTTCTACATATTTCTGGTATTTTCAAATACCATAATGCATGTACTGTCTTCTTTTTAAATTTATTTCTCCCAATTTTTGCCCGAAATTATCCGTTTATAATTTGCATGACTTTATTTTGACTGGGGAGCGGGACTGCCTCCCCCTCCCCCGCTCGCCCGTACGGCTATAATCAGCCGTTGTTACGGATCAGTTATATATTGTGTTAAAAGTTTTTTGACTTTGTTGTTTCTGATGACATTTGCCGACTCTCGACTTTTTACTCTCGATTCTCGACTTTTACTCTCGACTCTCGACTTTTACTCTCGACTCTCGACCTTTACTCTCGACTCTCGACCCTCGACTTTTAGATACACTCTGTTTCGGTCGGTGGTCATCCTCACCACAGAGTAAAGATATACTCTGTGTCCTCACTGATCTCAAAAATATGGCGGACTGTCATGAACAGCGGACACTGATTGGTTCAATTTAAAGTTTGCATTATAACGACTGCATGACGACAGCGAAATAGCAAACATTTCTTGATTTGATCACAGAATAGGAAGTTATACCAGAAGCGTAACTCGAGCAAATATTTGTCCGCGTTTTTACAAGCGATTCGTCATCAATCACGCCATCCTGGCTAGTACAACCGGCACTTTCTACCTACCAAATCCTGATAAAAACTTCCGGCTGTACTAGCCAGGATGGCGTGGCCTGACGTGAGCGAGTTAAAATTTTCGTGGACGTCAAACACAGTGCTCTCACTTTTAAGGAATTATCCTTAAAAATAGGAATTTTGAAGAGTTTTAAGGATTTTTTTAAGGAATTTAGGTTTTTGAGGATTTTTTTAAGGAATTTCCGAAACATTTTATCCTGGACTAAAAACGTTGGACGGAGGATAACCACGCCACGCAAATTAGATTTAAACTTGAAAGTAGCAACATTATACGCACATAATTACATTTAGTATAATTACATAGGTGATTATTGAAAATTCTCCACGCTGATTGGTTGCCGTTGAGGCGATTATTACGCGATAATCACCTAAGCAATTTTCAAAATGGCGGCCGAAGCCTTTTTGTCAATTAAATGGCAAAGAAATGTGTATTTTCTTATTTTTTTCCAAATAATCACCTATGAAATTATACTAAAACAATTATTCACCTCAGGCTCGGTGATTATCGTGAATAAAAACCTGGACTTCGTCTCGGTTTTTATTCACCGATAAATCGATAATCACCTCGTCTTCGGCGAATAATTGTTAAATTTTCGTATGTTCTCTATGTCATAAATGTTCTTATGTTCCAGTACCAATT